CGCCCCAGGGAAGACGAACAAACTCTTGGCTGGTTCGACTCCCTCGCCGTGTGCCCCGGGCACCTGGAGTACCGCACGCACCAGCAGCAGTGCCTACGACCTCATCGTGTTCACGCTGCAGATTTCCCACGGAGGACATGATGAGCAGCAGCAAATGGCAAGAAAAGCTTGTTATTGTTGCAATGATGGGTGTATTGCTGTCACGCCAGCGAGCTTGCAGGTGGCGTCTTTGCTATCATCACGGTTTGATGACCAAGGAGCCAGCGGGTTGCGCATGGGTGGGGCAACACCGGAAGGGGATGGGGGATACATATACCGGCCTGTGTTCTTGGTTCATCGTTCGTTCCTCTTCGTGCTATTGACAAGTTATTTTTTATCCGACACGACGCTTGGTTTCATGTTATTATTGTACGGCGTGTGTTAATTAAATATTGTTTGGTTTGTGGGAAGCGGTATGGAGAGATTTGTATTCAAACGCCCCTCCGCACGCACCGAGCCATGGTCACTTCTGGATTTCTTTCTTTTGCCTCAAAAAGAGAAGAAAACTCCAGGCCGAGATACGAACTCGGGTCGCTACAACCCACGTCAGTCAGCGTTTTCACCATTAGACCAAAAACGTCCGATATTTAATATGAAGCACAATTTTGCCTAACTGCAATGAATGATGACCAAGACGATCAGCATTCCTTGGGCACGTTCGTAGTCGCCTGTGTTCGTGCCAAAAAACAAGAAGAATACGAAATAAGAATGACTTTATCATCAGAAACTCATGTTTTTTACGCATCGAAAAAAAAAACTACAATAATTGACTTGGATTTGTATGGACTAATTATTTTTTTACTTTTGGTTTTTTTTTATGCTTTTGGCAGACGATATACATATGTACATATATTCAGAACACTTCTTTCGAGCGACAAAAAAAAAATCCGCCCCACAGAAACAACACATTATCCTGCCATCACCGATAGCCAACCCAGCTCACCGGCTTCGTAAAGACCAGGCATCCCCATCGGATGAGGTCGCGCCCGGCCGCCGAGGTCCAAGCGTCGAGCCCCCTGGCCATGTTGTCGATGAACCCATCCTCCACGCCATCCAGGTTGCCGCGCCGCGACACCAGCACCTCCCGGACCTGTTAACCACGATTTTGATTTTTTGGCGTTTGTTCTTAAAGCGTGGCATCTTTTCGGGGGTGCGGGGGGGGGGGGGGGGGGGGGGTCTCCCCTGGGGGGAAAAGTAACCCCTT